AGAGATAGAATGTCTTGATTAGTCATAATTGTATTTTATTGTAGATAGATACTTTTTAGCTTATTGCATAATTTAGGACTGGAGGAATGACTGAAATTTTCGCTTTTACTCGACTTTTGAATTTGATTTGGATAAGAAAATGATTAACCGGGATATCTCATGAAGTAATATGACTCGATCAATCAAAGGTAGTCGTTTATCGACGAAAGACATAAGAAAATGATGACTAATCGGCATTGATAATTAGTCTCTTTATATGAGTTATGGATAGTAGTATTGGATAGTATTAATAAAATTTAATTTCAGAGAATATTAATATCAGAAAGTGTTGTGTAGTAGTCATGAAAACAGAGGTTTTTTTCCAACGTAATTTAACGAAAACATACGAATTCATACAAAATTGAATTCAAGAGAACAGTGACAGGAAGAGTAAAAGTACACGAAGTACAAGAACAAATACTTTTACTTCATAAAGTTACTTTGTACTTCTACTTCTATACTGTCTACCCGAGTAAATAAAGATTAAGTATTTCACACTGACTTTTCAAATATTGAGTAAATATCATATAAAAATAGTATTTTTTTCATTAGAAAATTGTTTTAGATCGAATGTGCTTTAATGAATTTGTGAATGTGTTTACAACAAAAGGATTCTTCAACTACAATTCAAGATAAATATCATTAGTTCAACGTGTAGCTATTCTGATTCAGTTCTCTAAAACGACTGAATGGCAGGAAAAAACTGGAAACAATATTTTGATTTCTGTGCTATTGAGAAAAATCGAACGAATGGACTCTGTAAATTGTGTCGTCGTAATTATAAAGATAAAAGTGGGGTATTCAGCAATTTTTTAAAGCATTTAAAACGACAACATCCATTGGAATATAATCAAGTGTTCAATAACGAACATGAATATTTCACTGAAGATAGAAATGGAATTGAAGATGGTCATGAACCCATTGATTTGACAAATATAAAAGAGAAAGAGAATCGAATTATTCTATCTATTACAAAAAATTTGATTATTCGATGCAATTTACCATTAAATTTGGTTGAGAAACCTGCTTTTCGTGATTTCATGAAAGAATGTAGTTTAAAATATCGACCTGTTTCGACGAAAAGATTGAAACATGATATTATTCCTTCATTGAAGAGTATAGTCCTAACACGTATCCATGAAAAATTGAACACTGTTGATCATGTCACATTAACTGTGGATATTTGGTCTGATCGACAATGTCGATCTTTCATAGGTATTACTTGTCATTTCATTGATCAAAACATAAATCTACAAGCTTATCTGATTGATTTCTTACGATTAAAATCGCTTCATACAAGTGAAAATATTCAACAGATGACCGATGAAGTACTTGAACGATTTAAAATTAAGAAGAAAGTATTTAGAATAGTTACGGACAATGCATCATCGATGATTAAAGCGTACAAGTTTGGCTTGTCTATTGATACTGAAAATGTTGAAATTGACGAGAGAAATCAATTTATCATAGAGAATGATTTGATGATTGAAGATTTTGAAGGTAAGCAAGTCTTCTGTAAGAAAACACAGAGCGTTGATCAGTATATGCTTCCATTTCTCTGTCATCAGTCTTTTCTTTTTAAGCACGATGACTTGAGTTTTTGTAGAAATCATATTTTTTCATTATTTATTTTGTTCTGTTATAGAACATTTTGAATCGGACAATCTACCAATGATGAATATGAGTACTACTGATTTTGACCACAATGAAGATTCATCATCGGTACGACTATCTTGTTTCGCGCATACTCTACAACTATGTATACGCGACGGACTGAAGAACGCACCCTATATTTCTAAAGTACTTGAAAAATGTCAAATATTAGGGAAATGTTCTAATCAATCATCGAAAATTGCTGATGTATTGGAAGAATTAAATAAACATATAAGCAAAATGAATATAACACGATGGAATAGTGAGTATATGTTGATGAAATCGATTTTATCTATTGGAAAAAGTGATCTCGACTCGATTGTAAAGTTAATGGACAATCCAGTTACTTTTTTAAACAATGACTTTACGATTCTAGAAGAAGTTGTCGATATCTTAGAACCCTTTTATGATATTTCGATCAAATGTCAATCGGATACAATTGTTACTGTTAGTATAGTTGTGCCCGCTATTGTACACTGTATCACTCATTTATTGGAAATAAGAAAAAAACTTTCGTTTTGTACTAAACTTGTTGAACAACTTCATATATCGATTGACAAGCGTTTCTCTGGAATTATACATCGATTGAATCTAATAAACGTAGAAAGAAATGAGCCATTCAATGATCCTCTTTATTTTATGGCTACGATTTTGGATCCATCATTCAAGTTCTATTGGCTTCGTGATCTTAATTTACCTATCAATAATGAGAATCGATTAAAACAAAACATAATTCAACTGATTGTTGATGAAATCAGTCAAGATTCATCCTTATCATCACCGAAAGCTTCATCAGAAGCAGTATCGGTTCCATTAACGACATCGAAACGGAACAAGAAGTTATTTGTATACAATGAATATGACGAGAAGTCCAACGACACAATGGTATCCGATCCTGTTACTGAAATAGATAGCTATCTAAATGATCCGATAAGAACAAGATTTTCCGATTACTGGCCAACTTCTCGATTGACTTCTTTAAAGAAATTAGTGAAGCGTATTTTCTCCGTTCAAGCTTCATCTGCACCAGTAGAAAGAGTATTTTCACATGCAGGTCTAATTCTTTCATCGCGACGAACTAATATGAGCGAGCAGTTATTCAAAGATTTAGTATTCTTGAAAGTAAATCAAAGTTTATTGTGAAGTAGAAGATGATATATCGAATAAAATTCATTTTTCCTATTTGTACTTTTCCATGTTGAAAGTTTTTACATTCTATTCCATGTAAATGTACTTTTACTTCAAAAATTTACTTTTTACTTGGATTTTTCATTTCGAGCAGTACAAAAGTATCAAGTACTGTACTGAGTATCCAGTCACTGTAAGAAAAATAAATACATTTCTCTTTCGTTTTGATTTGATGGCATTTTGTTTTTTTCTCAATACAATCAACAAAAGTGCTGAGAGTATTCGTTTCTTTCGCCGAAAAGTATATGTTCCCCAACAGGGAAAGCTTTGAAGGACTGACTTGAGAGCCGACAAATGCATAGAGCAACCACGACCGGTTTCGACCTTGCTCAGGGGTCTCTTCAGGTAGCTTTAGCACTACATAATAAATTAAAATCAAAGAATGGGGATTTGAGTTTATCACTCAACTGATATATAGATTCAAAATTGAATACGACGCGTTTCGACTACTGTTTCGATATTTATCATCATGTATGTTTTTAGTGTGTTAAAAAATTGACTTGTGATTAATAGTGAGCCATTTTAAAGCATTTATTATTCACTTCTAAATTTTAACCGAAGGGATGTCCAGGACAAATCAATTCGATTAGAGTTTCATCATTCCGACAAAGTAAAGTCAACAATTTCAGCTCTTTAGCATTCATCTGCCCACCTGTTATATAATAATGACTATTTAGCCCGGTGACATCGTATAATCGAACTTGACTTTCTTTACTATCACATCTATACTTGGATAGTTATATAAGAAGCATGAGCTATGCGTTCTGTTCGTATTGGATCATACTGGAATACCTTAATTAGCTTATAGCGGAGTAGATATTGCTTTTACATGAAACTGAATTACATACCGAAGAACGTGCTTCTCTTATCTTCTATAGCCGACAGTAAAACAGTGACACTAGAAAGAAGTACTATTGACCATACGTTGATCTTCAGCTTTTAAGCCATCATTACACGGCTTCTTTCTTTGAATTATAATATGATGGTCATCAATATAGTCTTTACTGGTAATAATATTATAAGAATAAACCAATAGATAGTATTGTGATTTTAAAATCGTCTTTTATTGAAACACAAAGGTAGACAGACAAATAGATAAATGTTTCGAGCTTCTTTTACTAGGCTCAATGCGATTCAATCTAAGGGATACATTGTAAAACAAATGTGATCATTTACTTGAATGTCTGTTTGACTCTTTAGAAAATATTCTTTTTCAAATACTGTCGTGTGTAATTTCCATGAAAGACAATGGATAAAAAATTATCAAATGAAGGAAATTATGCAAGTCATAGAATTTCTTGAATCCGATCACTTAGCTTAAGTAATAATATTTTCAGTATAATCACGATTACAAAGAATGATCATAAAGAGTGAATCAATATCATTTTAATCATAGTACGAATTCAGTTTCATAAACCGAAGATTACTATCAAGCATAATGCTATCTTTTATAACAATCCTAGTCTAAATGAATTTTGAATAGAAACTCTAAAATACAGCCTTTATATTTGCAAAAAGAACCGTTAGAAACCGCAGTTTGTTTACATCAACGGTTGATTTTCACCAGAGCAAATACAGTTTCAATAGGCATATGTCCATCAGATGTAGTATATGATTTTGTATAAGATTATCTGTAAAGATCATCTTTCAAGAGATAAAACCGACAATTGCTCTTCATTTTAATTTTTCTTGAGTAGAATCACGAGTAGAATAATACGACTATTGTTTCATATGATGATCAAATACTTTTATTGTCAATTTTGAATTTTATTTCCGAAACTATAAGTTTATATACGGCCTACAAGAAATACATTCAATTTGAGGAAATATCACAAATAATCTTTTTTCTTGATTGTCTTGTTTTTATAGACACATTTACTTTGGTCATCTTTTTCTAACAGGTGCCTATCAAAATATTCAAGTCATTAACATACTCGAACGCCTATCATATTATTTCTATTATTAATTTCGTTTGAAAGTTGTTCTGAGGTTAGGAAAATGGCTCAAAGTCATATGTTAGTGATCTTTGATTACTCTGGTTCAATGAATGGACAAAGGTATCAAGATTGTCATGCAGTAAGGAGCTTAGTAGCACTTTGATAACAAAAAACACAACTTCTATGTTGCAGGCATGCATGAAACTTCAAATGCCATGTGAATTCTGGTTATTTGGAAGTGACGTCCAGAAGAAAGGAATTGTGACAAGTATTCCAACTTTCGGATGTAACTCAGGCACATCTATCACAATAATGCTGGAAACACTCCACCAATGGATGAGTAGTACGTATAATAAACAAGTGTGTATCTTTACGGATGGCGAAGATAAGTATGATGAAGCAACATTTACCGCAAAGTTCAATCAAATACGAAATCGAAACCATTCTGTCTCTGTGTACGATATATGTCGCACTAATGTAGAACCATTGAAAAGAATCTTTGCTAGTATTTCATGCACAATTGTGACCACCAGGGATGAAATAGATCAATTGGTACAGCAAATAAACCAAAATATAGCAATTGATAATGATCTCCTTCAGGGGATAACAAGAGTAGAGAACAACGTACAAAAGCTAATTGTGAATTACCAGAAACTTGAAAAAAGCAGCAAAGAACTAAAAATTCTCACAGACAAGCTTACTAGTGAATCACAAACCATACAAGCCAGTGCTGATCAGGCGATAGTGGCAAAAGAGAAGCAAAAACTCGAGACAGCATCCAATGAACTTAAACAACATATAAGTGATATAGCCGATCATATAACACGCTTGCAAGATAATGAAAGAAAAATAAAACGATTAAACGATGATATCGATGATGCTCGAGATACCATAGTCAAACTAAATACCAAAATAAAAGCCGAAACTAACTCACCAAATCCAAATATCCAGAAAATTCAATCGTTTCGGTTGCAGATAGTAGAACAAGAAAAAAAGATAGTCGAGATTGAAGACAAGATAAGTACTTTGAAGCAGAACAGTGCATCGGCTGTTCAAAATTTTGAACTTCTAAGAGACAAAACGGAAGAAACACAAACGAAAGTGACTAGTACATTGAAAACAATAAATTAACTGAATGATGGCTGATTAGTGGCAACGAAGAATTAAGACTTTTGTTTTATTTGTCAGTTTTCTTTGGCTTTACTCTGTTGTTTTACAAGTATTTAAATGAAACTAATAGAATAAACTGACGGCGTCCTCATAATTGGATAAAATACTCAATTCCAATTTCTCAAAAAAAGCAATATATTCCTTTCTTATATATTTTGCTTACGCGAAGAAACATATTGAACGAATAAGATATTCTTTTATTTTTATGTATTTTATGCGTAATACTTTTCTATTGATTTTATTCTAGATGGCATCATATAAACGAGAACTAGATGCCAAAAGAGCAAAGGTGGAAAAAACAATTCAATCTAAAGATAAGAAAAAACTTATACACTTGGGTGATGAGTTCAAAGAACGCATAAATGAGTTAAGTGATCATATCAAAAGGTTGAAAGATAATGGAAGGACAATGAAACGACTACAATATGATCTCGAAGAGATTTTAGATAATGTAGATAATCTACAGATAAAATTAGATGCTGAAACAAGCTCACCAAATCCGAACGAAGAGAAAATTAAGAATTATACAAATGAAAAAGAAGAATTAAACAAGCAGCAAAAACAAGTTCACAACAAGATAGAAAAGATGCATAAAAATAGTGGATCCATTGTAAAAGACACTGAAAATTTAGAAATCGAAAACGAACAACTACAGGAGTATGGGGACCTACTGGAAAAAATCAAAGATGCTTTAAATAAACATAAAAAAGAAAGAGTAAAACAAACATGACCATTTTCGTCCTTCCGAATGTGACTCATCCAATGATTCAATTATAAATCACATACATCATTTCGTGCAAACGATTATAAATCAAATAAATATATATGCCGATAAAAATCTTGAGGGTGTGTATTATTTTTAAAGAAATTTTAACTACGATCTAGATTTCGACCTTTCTCAAGGGTCTTCATCAGGTAGTTCAAGCACTGCATAAAATATTAAATTAAAAGGAAAAATTTCAAAAGAAATAATTCCTCTTACTTTTAATATCAAAAAGCAAAGCAGAGATTTCTTAAATATAATATGGTGTGTATTATTTTTAAAGAAATTTTAACTACGATCTAGATTTCGACCTTTCTCAAGGGACTTATCAGGTATCTTTGGTAGTCTATTATAATTACATAAAGTAGAAACTCGAATAAAATTCAAAGAATTTTGAAGAAGTTAAAACTTAAACATAATAACTAAGAACAAAAATTTCAATAAATGAGAAGAAACCTTAATATTAAAATGAGAACGAATTATCTAATCTCCAAGACTTCGTTAAATCAAAGAATTCAAACTAATTGTCAATCGATTTTAAAAGTAATGCTCATTCATTGGGGTGTGACTAGCTACCATAATCTATAGATTTCATTGGAACAACCCAAATCATCAGATGGCAAATAATTTTAATGATTTAAAAATCAAAATCAAAAAATTAATTCAAATTCTGACATATATTTAAATAAATAGATATATGTTGAAGAATTCATATCATAGTAGTGTGAATAAAAGTTTTAAAGAAAAATTAAGATCGACACGACGCGTTTCGTCCTTTCTTAAGGGACTCATCAGGTATCTTCAACTTTCTATTATTATATAAAGAATAAACTTATTCAAATAAAATTCGAAGAAGTTAAAACTTAAACATAATAAATAAAAAGACAATTTATAATTAAATTAAAAGTTTTAAAGAAAAATCGAAGAAGTTAAAGCTTAGACTTAATAACAAAAAACAAAATTTCAATATATTAGATCAAACCTGAATATTATAATAACAAATAATTATCTAATCTCGATGACTTCGTAAAATCAAAGAATTCAAATTAATTATCAATTGATGTTAAAATTTACACTCATTTATTCATTGAACTATATCTAGTTCGTAAGTGGTTATAGAGGATGTGATTTGATTTGAATGAATCGACCATAAAATAAATGACATTGATCATTCTTTGAAATTATTCGTTGATTGCTTCTAGGCAGTCTTAATTTTAACATTTCTTAATGGCTTATATTTAACATTTCTTTCTTAATGGAATAATATTAGAGCTTTCTATCAAAAATTACTTTTTTGCTTAAGCAAAGTATAAATGAGTATAGAAAAGTAAATTTGCCTGTAAAGTAGTTCAAAGTTCTCTGATACTTATCGACAGAATATTAATTTACTTCAATATCACTCTCATCAATATTACAAATTATATCTAATCATAAATTATTTGCTTCATCTTCCCACAAAGTAATGATCAACTAACTGATACAGTATAAATAACAATAATTTCAGACATGCAATTTTCATGATCCCTTTCTTATTTCATTGAAAATCATATAGAAACAAAGCAAATTGACGATAGACATTTAAAATGGTGAACATACGTTAGAATAATAATCAAAATACTTCGAATGTACTCAATATATAGTCAAACAATAGGTTCT